GCAGTGGGGCGCGCTTGCCGTCGACCTCCCTAGGGCCATCGGGGGCGTGATGCGGCGCCGCGTGCCTCCCGATGCCGCCGGCCGCGCAGGCGGGGCGATCTCGCCACTTGCAGTGCGCAGAGATGAGGCGAGGCGCAGCGACGATAGACTGAGTGATGGGGCAACGTCGCCCCCCCCCCCCCCTCTCCCCCCGACAGAAACAGCAATCCGAGCAAGCGAAGCGCCGCGCGGTGTCCAGGGCAGGGGGCATGAACGTACATGCCAATTTCTAGACAGTGACACATGCCACAACTTCAGCCATTCTGCAGGGGGGACGCGCGAAGGAAGGAGAGGGTGGGCGAGGGCAACGTTCGCGCGCGCGCGACGCATGCCGTCACGCACCAACCACTTGACGGGCAAAATGCGGCGGCCGCGGGTCGCACTGCCCGGGGGGCCGACCACCTTCAAAAGGATCTCCTCCCCCCTGCCGCTTGTGACCAAGACGTCCTGTGGAGACAAGGTGGGCGGCCTTCCGCGCGTCGGCGCGATGCCGACTGTCGGGCGCGTGGGCGGCGCAATTCAAGCCGTCTGCAAAAGGTGCGCCGTGGACTTTCAATCGGGGCCAATCCTCGGTTGCTGATGCTGCCTGTCCGACGTTGCCGTCCCGGCGGTGTTCCAGCGCTCCCCGCCTGGCGAAACTCGTTGGTTGTAAACCCGCTCGCGCAGCGCAGTGGCCGCGCGCGCAGCGAAAATGTTTGCCCGCATTTTTCCCCGAGATCAGCCTGGGCGCCGCCTCCTCCGCCATTGTCCGCCCGCCGCTGCGCCATTGAGGCGCGCGTGCCCAGTCGGCCCATGAAACGGTGATCGACGGGGTCTCACGAACTGCAGCACTCCGGATCGGGGTGCTCTGGCTCTGGCCCGCGGCGGGGCACCCTTGCCGGGTCAACGACAGACCGCCCGGACAACGCATCTTCCAAGGCCATGGTCCGCTTCGCCCACAGACCGGCATCCCTCGACGCTTGGCGGCAGGCGGTGGGCTTGTGGCGCGGAGGGCGCATGAATGTTTCACCTGGGATGAACCAGAAGTCCATGGTCTCCAACAACGCAGCCTTCTGGCCCGACTCATGCTCATCGACCTTCGCGCCCAACTCCGACGCGCTGATCATATTATGCGCGTCGCGTTCGGGTGGTCGGCGGCTTCCGCGCGGCCGGGGCGCCCGGGCCCCCTCGGGCAGTCCAAGCCCGGCGCAGCGCAGGCCCAGACCGTCGCGGCACCAACGAAGAGTGCAATCAATCCCTCGAAATCTTGCTGCTTCTACGCCGATGGCGCATTGCGTGAATAACCGCTGCCCAACCAGGTGAAGATTGGGAAGGCGCCAGATGAAGATCGGGACGGCGCCGGCAGACGGTGCAAACATCGTCTCCAGAGCGCGCTGTCGCAGCACCCCTCTTCCGATTGGTTGCAGGTAGTGGATGGACTGTAATGGCGCCTCGTTCATAGGACCTTTCAAGGAGATTTAGCGTGGCTGAAGACGGTGATGACGTGACCTCCTCTCTCAGGCGAGCGGCCCCAGGGACGCCCGGGGACAGGGTGGGCAGATAGCGTGAACAAGTATCTGAGTAGCAAACACGCCACGTCGCTATCATAAGTATTTCATAGCACGCGAGTGTTCGGCTTAGCAAGTTTCGAAGACGATTTTGTGGACTTCATGAACTCGCAGTGGCCTGCTTCCAATGTTCCTGTCTCAGAGAGGCGCGTCTCGCTGCATGTTTTCCATCGCCGTCTCCACTTGTGGGGCGCGTGCGGCCTCCGCGCGATATCGGACCTGCACTGCAACTCGGTGATGCTGAATCCCGCCGAGCATTCGTTGTCTCGGTGTTCGTCCGGCACGATGGATCCAAAGTTCACGATGTCACGTGTTTCCGTTTCCGACTTGCCGCCGCCAGTGATTCCGATGCCGCCCCCTGTAGAAAATCCATCCTCGGATTCCACCACCAACTCCTGTGATCCTGCCAGCGCTGGGCTCACCAGCGTAGTCATGGCGGTTGGCACCATATCCTCTGTGGCTATGGTGCCTGATGTGGCGGAGCTCGTGCCTCTCTCGGTGCAAGTCGTGGCCGTCCTGGTGATCGTCGTGGTGGTCGTCTTGGTGGTGCTGCTGCTTGGCGTGGCGGAACTCGTGCCCGTGTCGGTTGTTTTGGTGGCTGTCTGTGGGGCAGAAGTGGTGCCGTCGGGTGCTTGTTGTGTGCGCCTGTGGGAAGGGCGTCGGGGCGGACGTCGGCGCTGCACTTCCATGCGTCTTGATGTAGCCAAAATAATCATGGCACGTCTGGGTGTAACCATACCTTCGCACATCATGAGCTGGGTGCATGCAACATATGTTTAACATGTGAAGACCCAGGTGTGGTAGCCCGAACTCGCGGAGCCGATCCCGTCGATCTTTTTGTGCCCGTCGCCGTCTCGTCATTCGTCCAGGTGGCGTGTGTCCATGCGGCGATCGGGCAAGTCCAGCTCCACCGGGCATGTTTGCCATAATGCGTGGCAGTGTATGCGTCGATGTCCAACGAAAACTCCAAGACGCCTACATTAGGAGCCTCCCCAGGAAAAATCCGCGGTGGTGGCATCTGCAATGGCGTGGCCAAACATTATTCCGAGTACGTGGCCGCGGATTGTAGCCACGTCCTGATCTGCAGGGGTCGCATGTACCTTGGAATTCTCCGGGAACTTGATCGGGCCCCGTCTGGGCCGCCCTGGAAGTGGATTGGTACAACGACGCGGGAACGGCGTTGGAACTGGCGCTAGGGTCGGTGGTGTAGCAGGGGTCGAAGGAGCAGGTGTCGGTGAGGCGGCGCACAACCTCCAGCCACAGTGGGCGAATGACCCATCAGAGGTCCAACTGATGCTGCCTGTCGGTACGACGCCGCTGGGCCAAGCAATTCCACAGTACTGCTGTCAATGTGCAATCATATCGCAGCAACGACACCCCGCAGCAACGTCACCAGGGTCGCAGCAACGACACCCCGCAGCCTTCACACGTTTCCACGCGCAGACAACATTGACAGATTCCACCGTTGTCTGTAAGTTAAGTCCCGAAAGGCAGCTCTAAGAGCAGTGCACGTGCCACTCTCGACGAACGAACTCCCACCCACAATACCGACGTGATCTGGTGCCTCCACAGTGAACGCCATGCATCAATGAAGATGTGGAGATGACAAAAATGAGCTGAGCTGGTGGCCACGGCACCTAGGTCCCCAAATGGGATCCAAACCGCTGACACCTCACATGCACCCACGTCCACTTCATAACCGTCATTGAAAACTTGCGGCGTTGAAACATGTGACCCTGCTGGTTCCCTGGAAATCGTCGGTGCAACCAGGGAATGTCGCTTGCCATCCTGTGGAAAAGCAAATGCCAATGCGCAACGCCGTGAACTGCGCAACATCGCTGCGGCCGGACAAAGTTGAGAATCAATCAGGCGTCGTCGAACTTCTGCATGCTTGTCGGGACGACCCGTCGGTGCTGGCGCGCGTCTGAACATGAGTCCTAGCAGCGGGGAGTGTGCTGTAGACGAACGGCATCACCAAGACCATGGTCACTACCTTATGGCCGCCATCTTACACAGTCGAAGGAGAGGAGACGGTGTGCGTAAGTGTTTCGTTCAATACATGCGCTGAGGTGCACGACCTTGACCCAAGATGTTTTGAGCCAGATTGGCTTGAACCAGCATGACTACGTACGGACCGCTTCGAGGCTCCCTTGGGCCGCCGTGGGCCCCTCCAGAGGTGCTGCTGTGCTGTCTTGGTGTGCTCCTGGATCCTAATCGGGACTCCAGGCGGCTAAGACACACAACATGCGGATTTGTTCAACTGTCCCAGGCCTCCCGATACGTTTGGCTTCAGATTGCTTCGGCTGCGTGCAAGCATCGCTTCGGCTCAAACTGTTTCCCAGAAGGCCTCGGAGAGCGTACAAGGAACCCCAAAAGGTTTCAAGAGGGCCCCGAGATGGCCTTGATACGGCCCAGGCCGGCTCCATCAGGGCCCCAAGACGCGCCCAGAGGATGTCCAGGGGTCCGTGAAGGCTGAACACGGAGACCACCAGGAGAAGCCAAAAACGGCCCAAGAGAGCTCCAATCTTGTACAAGAGTGCCTCAATACGGTCAAAGAGGCTACCGAGACAGACTAAGAGGGCCTCACTAGAACGCCTAGATGACCCAAGAGGGAGCTCGCCAAGATGGATAAAGAGGCCACGACGAGCCCACGAGGCACTAGGGTGGCGTGGTGCCGCTCAAGTCGCGCCATTCGGCCACAGAGTGCTTCTCGATGGAAGCGTTTTCAATCTGTCTCGGACCCCCCCGCCCTACGGCAGGTTCGTGTCGCGACGACCCCGGCGTTGGTTTCTGACACCGCGTAAACCTTTCAACCTTGAAAGATCGGCGGCTTTTCGATCGCAAGATCGATCCACATTCGCCGATTCTGGGCCACTGGCGGCGTTCAACCTTGAATGCCCGCGGCGGGGTCACCGTCGCGTCGACACGACACCGACCTGCCGTGCACGAGAATGCTTGAGAGCTTCTGCGACGGCCGCTGGAGCTGCTCCGAACTCCATCGAACACCTTCCGTGGAAACCCGCTTGGGGAGGAGCAGGGCGCGCTGGAGCCAACACGAGGCCAGTGTTGCCAGCGGCGCATGCAGACACTCGCAATCGCTAGGTGGATTGAGAAGCCCTCGTAGACAGCCAGTGCAGGGTTGGCCAACATCGAATCGGGACATCGGATCGGGTCGAGATGCGCGTCGGACCAGGCCGCATCGGCACGGAGTCGGAATCGAACCGGATCGGCCGCGCCAAGGTGCACAACAGCGCCACGCGAGCAGCGGGCCGTCGGAACATCCGAGCATGGAATCGGATTGGGGCCGGCCGAAACCGACATCGAATCGGATCGATTGGACCGAAACGGGCCGTGGGTTGATGGCGCAGGGGAGATGCAGCGTGGAGCCACAGGCCCTCCGAAGCTCCCCGGCGCCTGGAGCGTGCGGGCGAGGTCCAAGAAGAGGTCCTCCTGGGACGCGGACTCGAACCTGGCTTCTCCGCGGGCATCCCCGACCACCCGCAGCCACGGTGGCCTCTCCCTCTCCTTCTTCTCTGTCACTGCTTACCCCTTTCACTCTTTCTCCCTCTCGTTTTCCCTCTCCCTCTCTGTGTTTATGTAGATGGGCAGTGTTCGTATATACGGTGCGTACGCGCATCTAGTTGTTTGTTGCTCTCGTTGGTGCTCCCCCTACAAATCTCTACATGGTATGAGTTCAAGTTGTGTTAGTAGCTGTTCTCTCTATCGATGTATCTCTGCGCGAATACACACAAGCACGCACGCACACGCACAAGCACACAAACAAACACATTCACGCAAACACACACACACACACGCACATACACGTACAACCGCACAACCACAACAAACAAACACACAAACGCACAAACACACATCCACGCGGACACACAAACACGCAACACACACAAACACAGTTTGTTTTGCGTCGGCGGCTAGGCAACGTAACGGCGCTGGCGGAGAGCTGCCTAAACGGGGGTGTCGTTGTAGCGAGTTCTGCCACCATACAGGAGGAGGGGACGAGTAGAGGAAACGGACGAAACAGGGGGCGGGAGGGGAGCGAGGCCGCTCAGGGGGACAGGTCGCGCCCCGAGCGCGCGGCGCGGCCAGCCCCGCCGGCGGGCCCGCGGCGGCTGCTGCGCCAGGGGGCCGGCGGCGGCGGGGCGCAGTGCGGGGGCCGGGACCATCCCACTTGGGCAAGGGTGCAAAACGGTCAGCGTGGAGCCAAGATCAGATGGCCGCACGTTCCCCAGGGCAGGAGCGGGCGTAGTGTCCAGCATCAGATGGGGCGCAGGCGGCGGGCGGCAAGACCAAACCCGGGGTGCCAGCGCGGCGGCTGCGATCAGCCCGACAACGCCATGGCGGCGCGCGGGGGGGAGGAGAGCAGGCGGGGGGGGCAGAAGTGAACAGGGGGGAAGACGCCCCGCCTGTGAGACCCACGGGCGGGGCGGCAGGGCGGCAGCGGCGGCGCCGCGCACCGTAAGGCGCGGGGGGCAGCTTGAGGGAGGGACCCTGCCGGCGCCCGGCGGGGGCAGCAGGAGGGCTCGCAGAGCCAGCGAGGACCCGCGTGCGGGGCAACGGCGCCCGTCGGCAGCGGCGTCGGGAACGCTGCCGCGCGGGGCGGGCGGGGGAGAGAGGTGGCGCCGAACAGGTGCAGGTCGGAAGAAAAAGGGTAGGGCGCCCCTGCCGGGGCGGTCCAAACGCTTCTCGCCGGAAGTGCCAGCTTTCCTCCTCTTCGAGGCCCGTGCGCCGCCTGGCAAGCGTCCAGTGTGGCCTTTCCCGCTGCGGGTCCTGAAGGGGTGCTGGATGGATGCCGCCACTTCCAGCGAGGTACTGTCGCGCCAAAGACGGGCGCAGGCTTAACCCAAAAGGTGAGACCTGGACGGCCGGGAGGAAGTTTCGCAGCACACCATTTGCTCGCTGGGGGGGTCCCCCTCGCCCATCCCCTCCCCCTCCTCCCCAGGCCGTCCGCCCAAGACGGGTGCGAAGGGACCCTATAGCCGACTCGCGCCGGCCAAGGTGCAGGGTGCGCCCGCCGCTTGCCGCGGGGCGCCCGGACGCTGCTGCGTCAATCGGTCCGATCTCTCTCTCTCTCTCTCTTTGTCTCTACGTTGTCAACTCCCTCTTTCTTTTTACACAGATATCTACATGCATCTCTCCCTCTTTCTTTCTTGTTTGTGTTTCCTCTCTCTCTCTCTCTCTGTTTTTTATATATCCCTCTCCCTATGTTTTTCTCTCCCTCTCTCTCTCTCTCTGACTCCCTCGCACTCTCTCTCCCCCAGTCAATCTGCTCTGGATGCCTCTGGGGCAGGGTCGGAACAAAGGAGGGCAGGGCGAAGAAGAAACGAGGAACGCGAGGGGAATGCGGGGAGAACGAGGGACGAAGATGGGGGAGGACAAAGAAGGCGGGGGTGAGGGGTGCGAAGGGCGAGAAAAGGGAGCGAAGGAGGCGTAGAGGACGGAAGCGCAATAATCGCACTCTCCCTAGATCTCCGACGTCGTAACGTTTTTTTCGCAACCTGGAACCCCGGTTTCGAGGACTGGCTTTTCACCCCGAGCCGTTTCTGACGCCCCGCTATCCCGTAAGGGCCGATTGGAGGCTCAGATCTGCCCCAAGCAATTAATATTGAATTTTGCTCGTCTCTTCACGATGCGAAGAGGTCTGGTTTCCCCCTCTCCTCACCAGACGGGGGCCTTGGGAGCGGGAAGGGCGGGGGGCGTGCCCAGACGGAGCGGCGGAAGGAGGCGCGCAAGAGACAGAGCCGTGGACCCGCGTGACGCGCGGGCTTGGATCGACGCTGCTCGCCAGATGCGCTGTGCGATGAGGAAGCGGAGGGGTGGCAGGCGCCCATCCTATACCGTGGCACACACACACACCACCCCACCCCACCCCACCAAACCACACCACACCACCCTA